TTAAAAGTTTGATTAAAATTAGAACGATATGACGAAAAAGTTAAAAGTTTATCTGTAGGAAAGTTTTGATGTGATGGAAAAGTTGAAAGTTTGAAGAAAAAATTGGGAACTAAACCAGGCCTACATCTCGCGTTTCTTCTTTCACATTGATCGGTATTCCCTCCGTTTCACAATGTAAGATTTTCTAGCATTGTCCATATTTATGTACATGTTAATAAATCTAGACAAATATGTGTATAGATTTATTAATATATATATATGCAATATTAGAAAGTCTTACATTACGAAACGAAAAAATAGTACTACAAGGAAGTGTCCATGATACAATACTTCCCACTTTTGGAAGAAAATCAACGTCTTGTGAGCTCGTGGCTCACAGGACAATCCAATTTGGGCTGAGGTGTTGCAAGATTGCAATCTAGGGTGTGTTTAGTTCACGCTAAAATTAAAAGTTTGGTTGAAATTAGAATGATGTGATGAAAAAGTTAGAAGTTTATGTGTGTAGGAAAGTTTTGATGTGATAAAATAGTTGAAAGTTTGAAGAAAAAGTTTGTAACTAACTTAGCCCTAGCTTGGGCTCGAATGCCGGCTTTTCCAGTTGAAGAGCACAAGGGTAGTTGTACTGGCATTGTCCATACGACTACTCCGGGTCTCCAGCATAGGCAGCTACTACCGTACTAACAAACCGTATCACTCCCTCCGTCCTAAAATAAGTGTAGTTTTGTATTATTTATGTTCAGATTTGATTGTTCGTCTTATTTAAAAAAAATTTATGATTAGTATTTTTATTGCTATTACATGATAAAACATGAATAGTACTTTATGTGTGACTAAATATTTTTAAATTTTTCATAAAATTTTTAAATAAGACGGACGGTCAAACGTTGGGCACGGATATCCACGGTTGCACTTATTTTGGGAGCCGAGGTAGTACGTTCTGGTGCAACACAGTGTGTGCAACTAGGCAACTACAGGTCAAGTACCGCCCGGCACACGACGAGGGATGCTACATCAACAACCGGCGAACCGTGTGCTTGTCCACACTGACGAGGGAGACGTCATCGACCACAGGACCGCACAGCGTGCCGTCCGACTTCATATGGTGGTTGGAGCTGTGGAACACCACGCGCGTCCGGTTGGCGACCGCCGCGAACACGAGCTCGGCGCGCTCGTGCCCGCCAGTGCCCCGCGACTCGTACGACACCTTCAGCGTCGCCCGCGCCGCGTACGCGTCCACGGCAAGGGACCCGATGCACCCGTTGCCGGCGTCCCCGACGGAGAACGACAGCGTGTACCGCCGCCCGGGCACGGTCGCCACCTCCTGCACCAGCGCGCACTCCCTCCCGGCCACCATCTCCACGGCGTGCGCGCCGCTCGGCACCGCGTGGCGCGCCGAGTCCACGTACTTGACGACCTTCGTGGTCGACATGACCATCCACCCGGGCAGCGGCGAGTGCACGTCCTCGTCCATCGGCGGCACCAGGACACCCCACGGCGTGTCGGCGAAGATGTACGGGCCCTCCTCGAAGTCCCCGTTCCTCAGCATTGTACCACCTGCCAGTTCAGTTGAATAGATTCTGAACTCGTCATAACGTGTTTTGCTTGCGACATGTCGAAAATTCTCTTGAGCAACGGATTAGCTTACGTACCCCTGGTGTGATGGGGAGGAGGAAGAGTCTTGATGGCGACGAGGTCGATGAGTGGGCCGCAGGCCGGGTCCTCCTCGACGCCGGGGTTGTGGATGGAGAGCCACACGGCGCTGTGTTCGGCCTTGAAGGCCCAGGAGTAGGAGTCCCAGCCGGTGCTGGTGTACACGGTCTGGATCGGGAGCACGCCGAACTCAAGCGTGACGGACACGTTCAGCTTCTCGGCCTGGGCGCAGGTGCGCGCGGCGCTGAATGTGACAGAGTAGTACATGTGACGGGTGACGCTGATCCGCTGCCGGATGGTTGCGTCGTTGCCCAGGCGCACGGCGTACGCGCCCTCCGGCACCGCCAGGATCATGTCCTGCTCCTTGTGCCCGGACCCGATGTACTCCACGAACCCAGAGATCTCCCAGTTCGGTTCAGCTGGGACTTGTCCGGCCCGTGCTCGAAGTTGCCGTTTGGTAGAAGGCCTGTACGCACAATATATGATCGAGCTGTCACAAAGTGAGAAATGATATTGAAAACAGAGGAAAGGGGTTCTCTGTTATAGGGAACTGAAAATTGAACTAGAAAAAGTCCGAACGCAAAGCAACTTTGCTGTATTATGTAGCTCGAAACAGAACTGAGCTTCGACATTACAGCGATTAAAGGGCAAAGCAGTGGTTTCTTAAGCAGTGAAGTAGTGAACTAATGAAGAACAGTATTACGCTGTACAGAGTTCAGAGTTCGGAGAGAATTAACGAGCCAGGTGTAACTACTTACTATGACTAAAAATGAAAGTGGTTCAGATCGCTGCAGATTGGCTTTGGCTGTTAGTTTCTAGAAATTCACTGTCATGATCAGCAGAAGATTTGAGCTTTGAATCCTCAATCCTCTCTGGTGTGCACCTGATCTATATATGCATTGTCAACCTTATCAAGTTCATTCATAAATTGCTATCTGATATTTAACTCAGGTGATAATACTGTAGATGCAGGAAGGATCAAAAGAGACATTCACACACCAAACAGATCTATTATACAACTAACTTTCGTTCAAAAAAAAAATGATTATACAACTAACTGCTGCATGTATATGCAGTTGTGAGGATCGATCTATGGATATAAGTCAACGGCAGGTTTCGCGTGGTACAAAACAATAGAAGGTTCGGCAACTGATTAACAAGCTGATAGTATTTGTTCACGAGTGCTCACCATCGGTGACAGAGAAGACCACCGGTGCAGCCACGCCAACGAGCACCACCACCACAAGAGCCAGGCAGCGCGTGCACTTCGCCAAGACCATGATCATGAGCTCTCGTCACACGGTCCAGCACTCGAACTTCGCTGGAGCTTGGTGCAAACAGACAAATCGAATCGGAGTAGGTCGTTTTACCGATTCGCGAGGGGCCAGTGCGCGAGCTCACATATATAAGAGCTGTTGCTTATTACAACTTGTGTGATCTGTGCAGGGAGGATGAGTCCGGGACGCCGCGAGACGCGCCGGCTGGATCGTACGGAAGGCATCACGGCAACTTGGGGACCATCTGCTACAGAAGATTCCTCTCCAGTTTGCACGCCGCCCAGCTCGGGGCCACGGCGTCGCCGCGCACAGCGGGTTGGGGGTTCGAGCTTGGGGCCTGGGGCACTGGGGCTGTGCCATGAGAGCAGGTACAATAGTAGGCTATAAGCCAGCTGTAACTATATATCGAGAAGAAAAAAGAAGAGAGAGAAGAAAGCGGGCTATAAATTTATAGCTGGCTGCAACACGAACTCCAACATGTTATGTGTGTGTGAGAGGTGTGACCGTATATTAATAGTGTAGTATATTTTTATAGTTAACTATTGTATGAATGAACTATTAGATTGGCTATAGATATTTTGGAGCAGTAGTTGGCTATACTATTCACCTTGCTCTGACAAAACGATGCGTCCCAGCCGAGATGGCGTGGATCTCTTCTCCGCACGCCTCGGCGCCTCGGCGAAGCTGCGACGAAGAGTACGGACTACGGCCGCTCGGCGCCGCGATTCCCACCGTCTCGTGTTGCGCAAAGTCTCCGCAGGCCTGTGTCGTGGGTGCCGGGTGCCGGCCGTTCTTTTTTCATCTTCCTTTTTAAAACTCACGGCCTGCCCTGTGCAGTCCCTGCGTCTCCCTAACGGAGGCAATTTGTCAACTTTGTTTTGTTCTGAGAGGAAATGCGAGTTGCAACTCCAAATAATTTTACAAACCCCCTCCCTTTTTTTAAACAAATTACAAACATGGACGCTCACAACGTACGTAAACTATCCCTATGAACACGTACAACATACATGCCATATTCCTATGGGCAGTTATGAAAAGACTAGGCGGCATATTTTAATATTAACAAAGTCATTACGAGCACCTCGTTATCAACCAGTACATCGTCTACCACCAAAAGGATAAATTGCTATAAATGCGAGTATCCATGCAAGTCTATGACTTAAACCTAAACGGATAGGTTCCATCACAAGTGACCTAACTAGTTGAGATCTGCTCATTTCGCATGTAATCTCAAATTTTCGAACACCGGTATTACAATTTGTTTAAAGAAACCCATATTTAATGGAAAATGTCTTGTGAAACCCAGTTACAAGCATGCATGTATCATATTTAATAATAGCCTGTACTATATTCGTAGAAATAAATTGATTTCATTTTTAGGGAAAGTAGACGAGATGGATGCATATTTTGAGTATGCAAATATGAATTTTCTTTTAAAAATTTATTACATAATAATAGAATAGAAGTATTTTATATAAATAAACATTTTAGCTTCAAATATAAAGTACTTAAAATAAATCGTAATACCTTAAATTTTGGGTTTTGTGTCACCGATACCTGAAAATGTAGGCTTCTATGAAATTTACTCTTATTTCAAAGTTGGCGCTATAGCATCTTCAAGGTCAAATCCCTCGCCAACGAGGACAAATATTGTAGGAGCAAAGTGCATCTGTAATTCTGAATCGCTGGTCAGTCTTTCAACCGAGCAGTAAACCAAACTTATGTTTCAAACTATGAGAGGATGAAAAGAGCATTTTTAAACAATTTTGTAATAAAGGGTGAGTTTGGAAGAGCCAGCTGTGGCAGCAGCAGCGCTACAGCTACAAGACTCAACAAGCAAGATTATGCTAGGGGAGCTGCAGCGCAGTGGCTGTGCAGCTACAACCCAGCTGAACCAAACAAACCCAAAAGGGATAAGTTACTGTTTAATTATCAGCTTTGCTGGTCTGCGTGCGCCTGAAAAATTTCAATATGTCAGTTGAATTTTTTTACCGTTGGATTTGCATCACGATATATGCTTTTAATCGGGTCTAATTTTATATGAGTTTTGTAACGGGCTGCACTTTGCCTCAACCCAATAACCCATGGGCTCCGTTGATTGATGAGCGGCTTAATGAGAAAACGAGAAGACTAGAAAAGGAAAAAAAAAGGTCTAGCTATAATTATGGTATCACATTTTATTCTCCTCGCAATCAGTTTTGCTATACATTTGTCGATATTTTTTTTCTCACAATCAGTTTTGCTATACATTTGTCGATATTTTTTTTCTAAAAAATTAACATACGTAAACATAAGATAATTCTAAATATGTAATGTAATTACATCGTAACCTGCATGTAACTGCAATAATGCAATAAGTATGTAGTTTTATATGATGTAACTTTATGCGGTGTCTCCTTTTCACATTACCGAATCAGCTACAGTATTTTTAATGAAAAAATGCCATGGTTTTATGCTTTGAAAATTTGTCGCATACTCACATTTCGCATTCTCATTCTCTTACTCTATACCGTCCGCGTATTTATCTTGCTTCAATGCTTGTGCAATATGTTGATGGGATCGGTCGTTCTTCTATTATAGCGCTAGGTCACCCAGACCCTGTAGCCATACTAGTACTTCAATTTGACGACGACTCTAAGTCAAAGTGTCAACACTTCATACAAATTAGCACCCGATTTTCAAGCGATCACCAGCCACCGCGGAGGCGCGGGTAGCAGACGGCGTAGTGCAACAACGTTAACGTTACAGGCGAGCAGCGCGCTTGCGTACGCTGACGAGGGAGATGTCATCGACGAGAGGCCCGCACAGCGTCCCGTCCGGCTTCGTGTGGTAGTTGAAGCTCTGGAACACCACGCGCGTCAGGTTCGCGACCGCCGCGAACTCGAGCTGGGCGCGCTTGTGCCCGCCCGTGCCCTGCGACTCGTACGGCACCTTGGCCGTGGCCCGCGCCGCGTACGCCTCCACGGCCAGCGAATCCTTGCACCCGTTGCCCGCGTCCCCGACGGAGAACGACAGCCTGTACGACCGCCCGGGCACGGTCGCCACCTCCTGCACCAGCGCGGTCTCCCTGCCGGCCACAAGCTCCACGGCGCGCGCGCCCTGCGGCACCCTGTGGTGCGGCGAGTCCACGTACTTGATGACCTTCGTGTCCGACATGATCATCCACCCCGGCAGCGGCGAGTGCTCGTCCTCGAAGATCGGTGGCACCAGCACGCCCCACGTCGCGTCCGGGAAGATGTACGGCCCCTCCTCCAGGTCTCCGTTTCTCAACATGTTTCCTACATGCCAGGCCAATGAGTGAGTTCATTGTCTCAACAAAAAACTTACTTTTTGTTCGGCGAAGCAGTAGGAACAGATCTGTGACTGTTACCTTTGGTGCGGGGAGGAGGGTAGAGGTTCTTGATGGCAATGGAGTCAATGAGCGGGCCGCACGCCGGGTCCTCCTCCTCGCCGGGGTTGTGGATGGAGAGCCACACGACGCTGTGTTTGGCCCTGAAGGCCCAGGAGTAGGAGTCCCAGCCGCTGCTGGTGTAAACCGTCTGGATCGGGAGCACGCCGAACTCCGGTGTGACGGACATGTTCAGCTTCTCCTTCTGGGCGCAGGTGCGCGCCGCGCTGAAAGTGATGGAGTAGTAAGCGCGCCGCGTCACGCTAAGCCTCTGCCGGATGGTGGCGTCGTTGCCCAATCGCACGGCGCGCGCGCCCTCCGGCACCGCCAGGATCATGTCCTGCTCCCTGTGCCCGGACTCGATGTACTCCACGAACCCCGAGATCTCCCAGTTCAGTATGGCGTATCGACCCGTCACCACCGTGCCGTTCAGCTGGGACTTGTCCGGCCCGTCCTCGAAGTTGCCATTTGGCAACAGGCCTATGATAAAGCATAGATCATGGTGAAATGAAGTCAATCAGAACATGGGAACTGCGTAAATCATCACCGTGCAAATCATGCAAAAGGCTCAAAAAATATTTAACAGAGGAGCGCTGTAGCAGTCTGCGAGATCTCACCATCGGTGACGGCTGAATCGGCCCGAGCAGCCGAGCCGACGAGCAAGAAGAGCAGCGCCACGACGCTACGCGCGCTCCCAGTCATACCGTGGCTCCCTTCTCGCGAGTCGCGAGCTCTCGGCTGCTCCCGACGTCCGACTCTCTGGAGCTAGATGGGATGCACAAGCTTGGTGAGCCAGAGACCGCCAAAGCCGCCGTGCCGTTCTACCACTGTCCACTTAAATGCCGGGCATGGCATACTGGCATGGCAAGTGACACCGACGCGCGCGCGCGCCGGTGCGTGGGTCACGAGGAGGACCGGAGGAATTCGGGCCTCGGCTCTCTGTTTCGAGGCGATCCGAATGGCCACGTCCTGCCAACTTGGGACCTGCAAAGCTGCAGCTGTAAGCAAGGAACAGTGACCGCAGCTACTCACGTGGCATTCCGCCACGAATGGAAGATTCGGCTCCAGTTTCCACAGGGCCATGGCCCATGGCCGGTGTGGTCATGTGGCGGTCCTCGGGGCTCAATCTCTCAACCACTAGCTGTTCTCTGTTACAATATATGTGAAAAAGGGTTCTTTCCAACAAGTTAGAAGTACAATATTTTTTCTACTACTGAAATGGAGTATAGCAGTACAATGTTAAAACAATGCATCTTGGTGTAACATAGTGTATTTTCAGTAGCACTCTACTAAAACTAATGCATTCATCCAGCTTCTAATTTGTAATGAAATCTAGCACAGGCGAAAACATTTTCTGGTGCTCAGATGTCTGAGTTAACCCTCGACAGGCGAAGGACTACATCTGAATCTCAAATCCGTTCGTCTTCCTACTGAGAAAATCCGGTGCAGGAAACTCAATTCAATGATATGTGTATCATCGAACTATACATAATTTCCGACGAACCGGAGAGGCGCAGTACAAAATGAATGCCACGTTGACGTTAGCCTATGTTACAGAAGAAGCCGGCGATGGCTGTGGACGCCGACGACCGACGCGTCGTCGACGACGGGCCCACAGAGCGTGCCGTCGGGCTTCATGGTGTAGGCCATGCTGACGAACACCACCCGCGTCCGCTTGTCCGTCGCCGTGAACTCGAGCACCCCGCGCTTGTACCCACCCCTGCCCTGCGACTCGTACGGCACCTTCACGCTGCCGTGCGACACGTACGCCTGCACGGACATGGACCCCACGCACCCGTCGCCGGCGTCCCCGACGGAGAACTCCAGCCGGTACGACCGCCCGGGCACGGTGCACACCTCCTGCACCAGCGCCGCCTCCATGCCGGCCACCAGCTCCACCGCGCGTGCGCCGCCTGGAACGGCGTAGTGCGCCGCGTCCACGTACTTGACGGACTTGGTGTATCCCATGATCGTCCATGGCGACAGTGGCGAGTAGTCGTCCTCGTCCATCGGCGGCACAAGCACGCCCCACGACGTGTTGGGGAAGATGTACGGGCCTTCCTCGAAGCCCCCATTCTTCAGCAAGTTATCTGACGGGATTTGTTTCACGGAGAACGTATTAAACTACGTAAGGATGCAATTACAGCATTAGAGCAAACTTCAATAGTGACATCGATCTTTAGTTACCTTTGGTGCTTGGAGGAGATTGCAGAGTCTTGATGGCGAACGAGTCGATGAGGGGGCCGCAGGCCGCGTCATCGGTGACGCCAGGGTTGTGAACGATGAGCGACACGTCGCTGCGTCTCGCCTTGAACGCCCAGGAGTAGGAGTCCCAGCCGCTGCTGGTGTACACGGTCTGGATGGGGACCTCGCCGATCTCCGGGGTGACCGTGATGTTGAGGAGCTCGGACTGGGCGCAGGTGCGCGCCGCGCTGAAGGTGACGGAGTAGTGCATTCCCCGCGTCAGGGTGAGCCGCTGCTGGATGGAGGCCTCGTTGCCCAGCCGCACGGCGTACGCGCCCTCCGGCACCGGCAGGAGCATGTCACCCTGCATCTGGCCCGACCCGATGTACTCCACGAACCCGGAGATCTCCCACTGCGGTATCGCGTAGCGCCCGATCACCCTCGTGCCGTTCAGCTGCGACTTGTCCGGCGCCTCCTCGAAATTGCCATTCGGCAGCAGGCCTGAACACGCAGCGTAGAGCACACATGTCAGCGAACTCGCTCGTGCACCAGCTAGTTTCTATCAAGTGTCACTCGCCAAATTATTGACCAGAAATGAGCATGAGAAATTTATCGTGAAAAACCACAACTGTGTTAAACAATTGTTTAAGCTAGCATGGTGTTGCAGGTTCTCACCGTCCATGATGGCCGAAGCCGATCGAGCAGCAACGCTGAGGAGCAAGAGCAGCACCACGCAGCAGGTGCTCCGCACCATCTCTGTTTTCCTTCTCATCAGCTGCCTTCGGGACAAGAAGTACTCCCTATACTCTGAATATCTGATACTCAGCTGTAAACAAGTTGCCGCAGAATTTTGGTAATGGAAACAAGTAGTGCTGCATCACAGTGCTGTGTTGGCACTTGTAGTTATAGAGGAGATGCGTGCTCAGAGAGGATGTAACCTGGATGGAGCTTTTTTTGACGGAAGAACCTGGATGGAGCTAGTGCTGGCAAGTTGGGCACCTTGCTTCCTACGGCAAGCCGAGCAAAACTCACTCCGGATGCACGGGCCGCCACGATCGAGGCGGTTGGCAGGGCATCACTCCGTCCTGAGATGCGGTGGAAATGGAGTTCCTCGGCGTGTTGGTGACTGGGGAAGGCGCGACTGCGTGTTGCGGTGTTTGGCTTGGGGTCACAATGTCACATGGCCATTCCTTTCCCTTCTTTCTCGTTCGCATGGCCACCTGCCATTACAAAACTCCGCCCTTCCCTGCATCTGTGGCGGCGACCTGCGAGGAGGTGACAAACTGCAGTTACTGGTGCACGCCGCCCGATGCGGCGACTCCCGTCGTTGATCCGGGCAAGTGGGGATGACTAGGGCTGAGAAAACGGGCCTCGTGTTGGGTGTACACGTGGTCTGGTCTGCCGATCTGGCCCATGAGGCCGAAATCACTAGCCCAAAAATTTTACTTTCTGCCGTACCGATTAAGACACACTATCACACTGGGTAGTACACAAATGTCGTGGCCCAAATCTGGTTAGATCCACACTATAATGCGTTCATTTGATGCTAATGGCCTGTGTTGCTATTACTAATCACACATGACGATACTGCAGGACCTGTAAGCAACAAGACGGAAAGCAAGAATTTCAGTTAAAAAGATGTAATAATTTTCCTCAATTAATGAAACATATGAAACATTTTCGTTGAAACATTTTTCATCGTGGTGTGCAATATGTGAAACATTCTGTGATAATATAGTGCAACACCGTCCAGTATTTGCAAAAATATAGGATGTTCAACAACACTTTCCTATTTTATACTCTAACATGATACGTTGTATTTCTGGAATAGTGATGGTACGTTAAGCAAACATAAACGGTGTGGATTTACATTTTTAAAGATTTTTATGCACCAAGATATCACATGACAAAAAGTTTACTAGCCACAAATATATTTGACTTTTTAAAGGACCTTGCAACATGTCTATTATTTCCGACCCAGAAAAACTCTATTTCTAATCATCGGTTTATAAACTAATGGTTAGTGTAAACAACCAAAGTGTCCATTGTTAATTAAAAATGTAGTTATTAGTACTATAATAGATAAGTTGTAGGCAAAGAATAAACTTCTTGATTTTGTGAACCAATAAGTAGGTAGGAAGGTAGAAATGAAATTTTGTTTAATAAAGTTTGAGGGCTAGAAATGTTTTTTTAAATAGAAGGAATAATTGTTTATTCCATAGTCTAATTTAAAATGATCTTGACTACTCCCTTCGTTCTAAAATAGACAAATATACAAATATAGCACAAGATGTGATGTATTCTAGTTTACAAATAGACAAGAGTTTGTCTAAATTCATAATACCCTCTCCGTCCCAAAAATATAACAATTTTTAGTCCTCATGATTTATCCCAAAATATAACTTCTCAACCAATATTCTCTTCCCAACCAATCAAAACCCTCCACCATTCACTTTTCACACCTACCTTTACTACTCATCCAATCATAACCATCCACCATTCATTTGTACATATTTTTTTAATAACCGTATATAACTCTAAAACTTTTTTATATTATGAGATGGAGAGAGTATTGTATATAGTATGTTTGTTTATTTTACTTTTTTATATTATGAGACGGAGAGAGTATTGTATATAGTATGTTTGTTTATTTTAGAATAGATGTAGTAGACGTGAAGCTTACCTCTGGGACTACTAATGAAGAGCTTGATCTCAACCTTAAAACATGATTCCAATAATCTAACATAAATGAGTACATTACACTTGTGACTTGATAGTTGAGACAAGTCAAATTCAATCATCTTTTCTACTGACTTCATTTCTTTGCATCCAAACATGGGCCTGGTCATATTCAATATTCGAATAAGCATGTACGGTTATGTAATTACCCCCGGTTTTCTATCAATTGCATCCATAATATCTCACATTTTTTTCCTCGGTAAAAAAAATCATCTCACCCTTTTGGCATAAGAATCATATAAAAGGAATTGAGATATTCCTTCATATGGGACAACTTTAAGTCATTTTAAATTCTAGTGACTTTGACGATAGTAATAATATTACAGAAGGAACCGGCGGTGGCTGTGGACACTGACGAGCGACGCGTCGTCGATGACGGGACCACACAGCGTGCCGTCGGACTTCGTGGTGTAGGCCATGCTGACGAACACTACCCGCGTCCGTTTCTCCGTGGCCGTGAACTCGAGCAGCCCGCGCTTGTAGCCGCCCGTGCCCTGCGACTGGTACGTCACCTTCACGCTCCCGCGCGACGCGTACGCCTGCACGGTCAGGGACCCGGAGCACCCGTCGCCGGCGTCCCCGACGGAGAACTCCAGCCTGTACGACCGCCCGGGCACGGTGCTCACCTCCTGCAGCATCGCCGTCTCCATGCCGGACACCAGCTCAACCGCGCGGGCGCCGCCCGGCACAGCGTAGTGCGCCGCGTCGATGTACTTGACGGACTTGGTGGTCGACAGGATCGTCCACGGGGACAGCGGCGAGTAGTCGTCCTCGTCCATGGGCGGCACAAGCACGCCCCAGGACGTGTTGGGGAAGATGTACGGGCCCTCCTCGAAGCCCCCATTCTTCAGCATGTTACCTGGTTCATTTTGTTCGATTGTTTCATGACTGTGAGCACATCCTTGTATTCAATTTTGTAGAGATGCACACTGATAGCAGCTTTGTGGAGAGGTTAGCACCCGGCTCAATTAATTAATTACCTTTCGTTCTTTGAGGAGGGTTCAGGGTCTTAATGGCGAACGAGTCGATGAGGGGGCCGCAAGCTTCGTCATCAGAGACACCGGGGTTGTGGACGATGAACAACACGACGCTGTGCTTGGCCTTGAAGGCCCAGGAGTAGGAGTCCCAGCCGCTGCTGGTGTACACCGTCTGGATGGGGATCTCGCCGGACTCGGGGGTGATCGTGATGTTGAGGAGCTCGGACTGGGCGCAGGTGCGCGCCGCGCTGAATGTGATGGAGTAGTGCATTCCCCGCGTCAGGGTAAGCCGCTGCTGGATGGAGGCCTCGTTGCCCAGCCGCACGGCGTACGCGCCCTCCGGCACCGGCAGGAGCATGTCTCCCTGCTTCTGGCCCGACCCGATGTACTCCACGAACCCGGAGATCTCCCACTGAGGTATCGCGTAGCGACCCGTCACCCTCGTGCCGTTCATCTGCGACTTGTCCGGCGCCTCCTCGAAGTTGCCATTCGGCAGCAGGCCTGAAAAATACACGCAGCAAGCAGAATGACATATCAGCGATCTTTCGTCATTTTCAGTACTATCTAAGCAGAAATGAGCGTCACAAATTTATCGTGCAACTGATTAACCGTCTAAATCGCATGTACGATCTTAAGCTGGCAAATGTACTATGGAAGGCTCTTACCATCGGTGATAGCCGACGCCGATCGAGCAGCAAAAGCAACGCCGACGAGCAAGAGCAGCGCGACGCAGGGGGTAGTCTGAATCATCTCTGTTTTTCTTCTCATCACCTCTCTGAGCAAGTACTGCTCCTGTTATTACTTGGTTGTAAGCAAGGTGGCAATGGGATTGGACAGCAAACAGGTTTAGAACTGTACAGGAGATTGTGATATGCTGTCACTTAATTATAGAGAACGGATCGGTGTTCAGAGTTCAGACCAGATGTCCAGAACTCCAGATGGACAGCGTGTTTTCTGCAGGAAACCGAGCGAAACGAGCGCCGGATCCGCGGACCGCCACGATCGAGGAGGTTGGCAGGGCATCTCTCCTCGGTTCTGAGGTGCCGTGGAAATGGGGTCCCTTGGCGAGGCGGCGACCGGGGAAGGCGTTGTCTGCGTTTGCCTGGGGTCACATGGTGGTTTGGCTTGCCATTCTGTTTCTTTTGCATGGGCGGCATGGGCGCATGGCTGCTCGCCATTTGAAAACTCCGCCGTCCCCCGCACCAGCACCTGTGAGAAGGGGGAAGCTGCGTAACGGCGACCGACGCGGCGCGCCACCGTCGGTGCGACTAACCCGCCCGTAAGGCTGTCGAAGGATAGTATATGCGCAGGAGCGATGTAGCATCTTAGCACACAAAAACAGGGCCGAAATTACATAGGGGTAATGGCTAAGGCCCATAAATTTCTTGGACCAAATTGGTTTAGTACAACTCTCGTTCACGCATCAAAATTACCATGTCATTTTTCGATTACATGGAAAATACAACACGTCCACGCACCACACTCACACGCTCCAATGATTGTGCTTCCTAACACAAGCTCAGAGAGATGAAGACCAACATCATATCTTAGTCCCACTAAATTCCTATAGAAAACACACTTACGCAACCAGGATTAAACTTTGTATGTGAAGCTATCCACGACTCTGCACCACACTAATGGTGTTTTCCTGAAATTACCACGGTAACTGAAATATTATAAAGATTAATAGCTATTGTTTCTATATGTTAGGTCTAATGATGTGTACAGATTCAAATAACTGTTATTTTGCGAAGTGAGTATATCTTAACTGGTTAGATTGTTTGTGGTGGAACCAACCCATCCATACTCAAGTATTAGACTTGTCAGGGTTACGGATAAGGTATACCCTCCACCCTTGGATATACGTCATGTATCGATATGGTATATCTGCGCGTATACGGACGTTCTCTGTACACGTTAAGAAAATTCATCACGGAGTCCACAGATGGAAGGAGTCCTACTCGGATAGAACTGTGTCGTCACTGTATCGTGTAGGGTCCGATGTCTCTGAGTTCTACTTGGAGATTAACTTGCCTGCGGTATAAAAGGGACCCCCCGGGAGGACCTAAAGCATCGAATCTCACCGCCAACACAACCAACACAGCCTACGAAGTCGGAGCCTACAGGAGCCAAGTCGCCGGGTGATCTAATCGAACCAACTCGACTACGGTCTCGTCGGTATCATCGAGTTCTGCTATTCCCTTTGTAATCTGTGGTTTTCATCATATAATCCCATATTAACTGGATTAGGGCTATCACCTATCAAGGGGCCTGAACCAGTATAATCCCTGTTTTTTGTTTGCTTGATGCCGTACTACGTAGATCCTCGTATCAGCGAACCCCAATACCCTCTATATCCGGTCTACGGGTATCCCCCGTCAACAAGACTCGAAATGGGTGCTCGTATTTGCGACTTATTTTTCTTTCAGTGGTAGGCGACGTTCATGTGGACAACAAGATGTATTGGTTTAGTTTTTTAGTGGTATGCATAAAGATAAGGTGTGCGTGTGCACGTTTATATGGGTGAGTGCGCATATGTTGTGAGCACAAGCGTTTATACTATGTTTAAAAAAAATAAGTGTTTATTTCTATATCCTCAATGCATGTAAAGACTTAAAAAAGATATTCTGTAAAATATTATGCGCTAGTGTTTTTTCCTAAAATCATATCATACCTTTCAAAAGAGCCAAACACTTTGGACAATTGGACTGAAGAAGAGGCTACATACAAATGACCGAGCTAGCCAGTTCAACGATACAGTGTATAGGAATGATGGATCAAATCGAATGGGGAAAACAACAGTAATAGCATGGGGAAAAAAACCAAACAAACAGATGAAGGGATCGAATACGTGTTGTGTGCAGGTTCAAGAAGTTAATTGGCACGCGGAGTAGGAAAGAGCAATGAAAAACGGAGGTTCAAGGGGTCGGAGTTTAAAATTCCGAACCCCTGCTTTCTCGGCGCTGATGATTTGGGGATGATAATTAATGGCATGAAGTGTAGGGTGGTACTAACTAAAGCTCGAAAATTCTTTGATACAAACATTAGCAAAGTTTGGGAATAATGTAATCCATACTGCAATAAGTTGCCCCTCTGAACCCTGAAGTCTGAACTCAACGTAACAAAATGAGTTACACAAATATACACCAAAATCTTTCAACGATAACAACTGATGGTAATAATTACCTTCACTGCTTCAGATGGATATTGTTAGATTTAATTGGGTAATTGATCCATTTAAATCAATTAAATCAAATAAATTCTAAGTCTCATTATGCTAGGAATTCATGTGTATTCATTCTTTTATGGGATATCAATGGGATGAAAAGTTTTGAGAATTAATCCATTTGATTAGGGAATTGGTAACTTATATCAATTAGTCCTAATTGATGGATGGTTGATGGTTGTGTAGTGGAAGATGGTTCATGGCTAGTTGATGACAATTAGTTGCTCTATTCCTTTTCCTATTCCATTGGTAACTTACATCAATTACTCCTAATTGATTGTTGGTTGATGGTTGTGTAGTGGAAGATGGTTGATGGCTAATTGATGAGAATTAGTTACTCTATTTCTCTTCCTATTCCATGACTCTTACTCTTCATCTTCCATTCCTCTTATAAAATGAGAATGGATTTGATCTCCCGCGAGAGAAGTGAGACACACTTTCATCCATTTTCCAACGCTGTTGCTGCTACGGTAATCCCATCCCGACGAGTGTGTGCACACGCGTTGGGAGAGTAGGCCTCCGAAACCACGCGCTGCTGCGACGTTTGCACGGACGGGTGGGTGATCAGTTTTTTGAGGAGCGCAAGGCGCGACTACTCACTATTCATCAACATCTACTTCACCTTCACCAATATGTCGAATACTGGAGATAACAGCAACACTGGATACAAGGAGAAGGAGCCTCCCGTCAATACCAACAGAGGCAATATTGCCTCAAACTCCAGCGGAGGACCATTCTTAGGGTATAACGCTCTTACATTATTTCAATTAGAAGTTTTACTGTTAATGTTCATCGCCATGTCAACATTGTGTTATTATGTGATTGTTGATGCTTATTCTACATTAAGCATGCTCATGTTGATTACATTCACCACTATCACTGGATCAAATCCCATTGTAAATATCATGTTTATTATCTTGTTATTTTGGATTAAAATATGCCGAATTATGACCAAATTTCCAACAATCCAAAAACCTGATAGGTCATTTTCGGTAGTTGGCTTTGCTGCAACACTGAAACCACATGCTTTTGATGGTTCTAATTATAAGAGATGGAAAGCACGTGCACTACTGTGGTTGACAGCGATGCTTCTATGTTTCACGGGGCAAACGATGTGAACCGCCTCTCTCTCCTGAGGAGGAGGCTAAGTTCGAGGTTTCGGATTGCTTGTTCCGTGGAGCATTGATCAGTGTACTCGCTGACAATATAGTGGACGTGTACATGCACATGCCTTCAGGGAAGGACATGTGGGATGCACTTGAGGCCAAGTTCAGAGTTTCCGACGCCGGCAACGAGCTGTATGTCATGGAGCAGTTCTATGACTACAAGATGGTCGATAACCGTTCTGTAGTGGAACAGGATCATGAGATTTAGATGCTGGCAAATGAACTTGAGAACAACAACTGTGAGTTGCCGGACAAGTTTGTGGTGGGTGGCATTATTGCTAAATTGCCACCTTCTTGGTCGGACTTTGCTACTTCTCTAAAACACAAGAGGCAAGAGTTCAGTGTTATTGATCTCATTGGCTCTTTGGGTGTTGAGGAGAAGGCGAGAGCAAAGGAAAACCGGGGCAAAAATATCGAGGGAGGTTCTAGCGCCAATTTGGTGCAAAAGAAGAACCCTCACGCATCCCACAACAACAACAACAAGAAAGTCAAGTCTGATGTCAAACCAAAGGCTACAACCAATTTTAAGAAGAAAGGCAAGGGAAAGGCCAAGGGCGACTGCTTTGTGTGCGGTAAGCCTAGGCATTGGGCCAAGAATTGTCCTGATCGCAAGGACAAGAAGTCTGCCAACATGGTTATTAGCGAGGGCGGAGGAACATCGGGGTACGACAATTTTTTACCTACAGTTCTCTCTGTTTTTCATTCACCTGATTGGTGGGTTGATACTGGTGCTAATATTCATGTGTGTGCTGATATTTCCCTGTTTTCTTCTTATCAGGTCGGGAGAGGTTCCTCCTTGTTGATGGGAAACGGGTCGCTTGCGGCTGTTCATGGTGTTGGTACGGTCGATCTGAAGTTTACTTCGGGAAAGACCGTATAGCTGAAGAACGTGCAGCATGTCCCTTCAATAAAGAAGAATCTAGTTAGCGGCTCTCTACTGTGTAGAGATGGTTTTAGACTTGTGTTTGAATTCAATAAATGTGTCATATCTAAATATTGAACTTTTATTGGAAAAGGTTATGACAACGGAGGTCTGTTCCGTTTTTCTTTGGATGACATGTGTAATAATAATAATAATGTTGTGAACCATATTAGCGAGAATGATGAGTCCAATGTGTGGCATTCGTGACTTTGGCTAACATGAGTTTAATTCTAAAATTCACTTTGGTCAAAGGTTCCAAGTGCCATACTTGTGTTCAATTGAAACAACCTTGCAAGCCTCACAAGGCATCTGAGGCGAGAAATTTGGCACCACTAGAACTAGTTCATTCCGATCTGTGCGAAATGAACGGTGTGTTGACTAAAGGGGGAAAGAAATATTTCATGACACTGATAGATGATTGCACTAGATATTGCTATGTGTACCTATTGAAAACAAAGGATGAGACATTGCATTACTTTAAGATCTATAAAGCTGAGGTAGAAAACCAACTTGAAAGGAAAATCAAACGGTTGAGGTCTGATAGGGGTGGAGAGTATTTTTCCAATGAGTTTACGTCCTTTTGCAAAAAGTTTGGAATTATTCATGAGAGGACGCATCCCTATTCACCCCAATCAAATGGGGTAGCCGAAAGAAAGAACCGCACTCTAACTGAGATGGTGAATGCCATGTTAGACACTGCGGGACTTTCCAAGGAATGGTGGGGTGAGGCAATTTTGACTGTTTGTCATGTCCTGAATAAAATTCCAGTGAAGCATAAGAAAGTAACACCATTCGAAGAATGGGAAAGGAAGAAATTAAATCTCTCATACCTACGCACATGGGG